GGCCAGCCTGTCGCGGTCTGGTCGCCGTCTTCGAGGCTAGCCGGCGCTGGCCGCGTGCGGCGCTAACCCCGCAGGGGCGGAGAGAAGCACAAGCAGCGGGGGAAGCCGAGAGTCACTCCGAGGCAGGAGCCAGTGGCTCCACGGATGGCCACAGACACCTCCTCTTGCCTTTCCTGGCTGACTCGTTAAACCCACGGAACGAGCCGCCACAGGGAGCTCAGTGTTCGCGCACTCAGTCAAATGGTTGCGGAGCCCTCCTGATTCGGGGCCCAGGCAGTGGCCTAGGCAGTGACCGCAGCAGGCAAATCCCGTCCTAAGGGAACTGCTTGGGGAAGATTCGAGACGGTGGTTACATAGAACCCCAGTCAGTGCTCTAAGGGAGTCCTGTGGGAGTCGCAGGAGAACGCTGTGACTAAAACAATAAGACCTAATGTTTGAGATACGCAAACGTCTCCTTTCATTTTGTGATTTAAAGGTAGAGACAGGCAGCGTGGAAGAATGTGTGGGCGAACATCCTGTCACTTACCTAGAGATGCTCTCACAAGAGCTTGTGCTTATCGGGATCGGCAAGGCCAGCAGCGGCTCCCGGAGTGGAGGGACCCTGATAAGTACTGCCCTTCTTACAACAAGAGTCCTCAGTCCAGCAGCCCGGTGCTCCTGTCTCGACTGCACTTCGAGAAGGTAACCAGCGTTATCTGCACCGTGTTAGTTTCTTTCTTGCACAGCATTGTGATGGTCATCTACTTCATTTGGTTTGGTGTACGCTCAGCCTCTCGGATGATGTTAAAAACCATCCTTTTCAGGGATGGCCGGTTAGCTGAGTTGTTTAAAGCACCTTGTTTTAACACCAAGGTCAAGGGTTTGGATTTCCTTACTGGCCAGCTGCCTAAATAAAGAAATAAAAACCATCCCTTTCTTATATATTCTGACCCCCAGTTGAGAACTACTCTGGCCTCCCTGAAACAAGTTTTATCACTGTCTTCTGTGTCTGACCTTAGAAGATGACTCAGTATTGTTCAGGCTGAACTTAACAAGTGCCTTTCCTATATGAGGCATACTAGCCTTAATGCATGCCAAATATATATAAGCCTCGTGTTTGAATTTTTTAAGACAGCTTTTAAACCTCACTGATCGTCAGGATCATTTGAGTATCTTAAAAAAGAGATCTCTATGGTAATCAACAGGCCAGATGAATCAGAATCTTCAGGCCTAGAGTAAGCTTAAGATCAGCTAATCTACATTTCTGACGTTTTTTGAACATTGCAAAGTTTTTATATTCTTTCTGTTTATCTTTTCAATCTTTTTATGTTTGTCTTTTACTGAAGATGTATTTGGTTGGTTATCTGAAGTTTAATTGCATTCACTGTGTTTATAGTATTTATCCCTGTAGTGTTGAAATGACTAGTCATTTACTGTCGTTTCAGTTCTTTGCCTTATCCCTTGAGAGTGTGTGTGTGTGTGTGTAGTAAAATGCTTCATTCCAGAAAGTAATGGTTTCTCCATGTCTTAAATATTTTAAATGACCCCCCCCCCTTTTTTTTTTGGTGCCTGGCTGTTAGGGGGATCCAAACCCTTGACCTTGGTG